CTCCAACATGCTAGGCAGAAGAATGGCCCCCAAAGATGTCTGCATCCTAATCCCCTAAACCTATGAATACGTTGTCTAGCATATCAAAAGGAGGCTTTGCAGGTGGGATAATATCTTGAGACAAGGAGACATCCTGGGTCACCTGGATGGGCCCAGTGTTCTCACAGAGTCCTTAACAAGAACCAGGTGGGAGAGTCAGGGTCAGGGATGTAACAATGGAAGCAGAAGTCCCATCAGCAGGATTTCCAGCTTTGGAGATGGAAGGAGACCACAAGCTCATTGGGTTATTGTGCAAATCAAGTGAAAGAATCAAGGTGATGAACTTCCAGACAGAGGAGCCGCTTGGACTACACATTTCTTCCACCATCCACTCTCTGCTGGGGATACTTGTTTCTGGAAGAAGAGGGAAAGACTGAAAGAGTTTGTGGCCGCCACGCTAAGCTGCAGCCCAGGAGGGGTCTCCAGGCTCATTAATGTCCCTTCTCTGAATTAAAACCTGTCTCTCCAAGGCCTCTGTTATCTGAGTGTATTGTCTAGTTTTATAATAATTAATTTATTAAAGTGTTTAAAGAATATGCCCAAAACCCATTCCCAGAATATGTGATACAGAAAGAGAAAACCTTCCCTTTGTGAATTTTTGTATTTTAGACTCTGAGAACATTTTAAAATGCTTTCTTACTTTAGTCAGTGACTCTGTGGTAGCAATTTATCTTATGGAAATTCTGTTTAAACTGATAAATAGTTGAGTTTATTTTTATAGGGTTCCCCCTACTTACATACATACTAATGTTTGTATTTTGCATCTAATTAAATTATGGTTGTTTTTAAAACTACCACTACAATTTTGCAACTTTGTTTTCTACTTAAACGGTACATTATGGACACACTCACAGACAGTGGTACATACAGATATTAACTTATCTATTTTGAGAATTGTACCCATTTATATTTGTGCCATAAATTAGCTAACTTATTCCCCTATTGATGGACATTTACATTGTTCTTCAGTCTTTAGAGTTATGAATTAATTATGCTCCAATAACCTTGATCTGAAAATATATTTATATTTTCATATTTATGTGTTTGTACCCATAGAATAAATTTCTAGACACAGAGTTGCTGAGTAGAGAGAATAAACATTAAAAGTGTTAGTGAAGTCTAAAAGTTTCCTTTTAAATACAAAAAATTGTAGTGCTTCTTGGAGCATAAGAAAATCAAACACAAAAACATGGTATAATTCTAGTGAGTTGCTCTGGTCTTTTGGAGAAAACCTGGAACCTCTCAGGTTTGTTTTTAAAAAAGCTCATAAACAAGTGAGAGAAAAGAGGTAAAGAGAGATGTGCAGCCAGGCATGGTGATGCACATTTATAATCCCAGGAATTCAGGAGGCGGAGGTAAGAGGATCGCAAGTTTGAGTTGCCCTAAGCAACTCAAGGAGACCCTGTCTCAAAATCTTAAAAAAAAAAAAAATGGGGGTGGAGAGTGGAAGGGTGGGGTGTAGGTCAGTGGTACAGTTTCCCTGGTTCAAGTCCCAGTACCATTAAGAGAGAGAGAAAAAGAAAGAAGTACAGCAAGCTGAGACTTCCTTAGCATGACCACAGCCCCAGATGCTTGATCAGGCAGAATTTCCCCACGGTGCAATTCAGTGCTCTCCAGGCCAGGACCAGAGGGAACATCCCAGCCCACAGAGTGGAGACACATCCCTGCTCGTGGTCCCCTCTCAGCCTTACCATAAACCTGGGAGAGGTGCCAAGGGGAGATTGGCCTGGGTGAGGAAGCTGAGGCTCAGAGCCATGCGGAGGCTCGCTCAGGGTCAACACAGGCCTTGCCACTGTCTCCCTCAGGCAGTGTCTCCATCCAGTTCCTGCATATGTGTTTGGGGGGGGGGGTCTCAGGGTCTGGAGTGACCTAGGTGGAGGCAGCAGGCTGAGCCAGGGATCAGGGTCCTGCCACCTGCTCTAGGTTTGGCTCCTCCTCAGATGGGGCTGCGTGTGCAGGGCCTGGCCTGGGCTGTGGAGAGTGCCTATGGCTCAGAACAACATTGGCCTCAGCTACCTCAGGGCCAGGTGAGGGAACCCTGGGAGGGGACAGGGCCTCAGGGACATCACAGAAGCTGGATTGTCTCCCTGTGACTCCCCACACGCCCTGCATCATGGTGTCCCTGCTGCACACCACCCCCTGCAGCTCCCTACACCCTACCTCAGGGCTCTTCCTGCCCTTGGCAGACCTCTGAGCATTCTGCCCCTTGCTAGCTCCCCCGACTTGACTTTGCCATTCAACAATCTCTTCCTGGCTTTAGGTCTTGTGGGTAATCTCTGCAAGGAACTAGAAATGTAGTGGCCCGCCTTCTCCATAGAAAATTTCTTCAGAACTCTTTACCATGGCTGATTTTAGGACTGTCAGCAAAACAAGTCTCTACAAAAGAGTTCAATGTAGTTAAACTTCCTATTTTCCTGTTGCCCTGTTTTACTTGGCCACTGGCCTGGAAGAAATCAGCACTCCAAGTGCTAGACACCCCTTTACTAGTTTTTCCACAAACATTTACCCAGTATAGTAGTTTGTAGAAGTATGTTTGCAAATGCAAAGTGTGATTAAAAAAAAAAAACAAGACAAATCCTTTAACAAGGCCTCTGGCCTGGAGCAGGGCTTCACAGAGATGTCTACATTTCTAAGATAAGAGAAGTTGGCAGGGGGAGGAAAGAAAGGAGAGAAGAAGTTCTCCCCTTCTCAGGTGTTGTCCTTGAAGGGTTAACTTGCCAAGAACAGTGAAAGAAAAAGTTGCCTTTATGTGAACTTCTGCAGACTGGGAACTTGTGAGCCCCTCCCCTTACATGCTGGGTATAAAGTTCTGAAACTACCTGAACTCGGGGTTCAGGGGATTAATGGGTTACAGCGAAAGCCGTGCCTTCTGAGCCAAATAAAACTGTTTCCTGCTATCTTCGGTGCCCTGCCTCGTCTGTCCTCTACAATAGATACATCACAAATGTGGGCAAGTAGCAAAATTTCTGGAAAGTCACAGAATTCTCTGAGTCTGGTTTCCTCTCTAAAGGGACAAGGTGAAGTTTCCACGTCTGAGCTTCTCTTCTTGATTAGTGATCTGCCTGAAGCATGATGATGATCTTGGCTCTCCCTTGCTCAGTCACCTTCAATGGCTCCCCATGGTCCAACAAAGTCCTCCTGTGGTCTTCAAGGCCCTTCCTGACCTGGGTCCAGCCTCTCCTGCAGCCTCACCCCATCTGCCCTCCAAGACCCACAAACTCTCTGACCTCTGCCCCTCTGGTTCTGTCCTCTACCCTAGAATGACAACCCTCTGCAACCTAAGGTCAGAGGACTGCTCAAGCTTTTAGTCCTTTGTGCTCTTGTGGTCTTCATGTTGTTCAGCACCCTGAGCCTCTGATGCACTGTGGACTCTCTTCTTACCAGATCTCTACCATGCTGTTTCTCCTTCTGGAACATTCCCTACTCCTGGTGCCCCAACTCCTCAGCTCATATAGAACCTTCCTTGACTCCCCTTTCAGTGCTCCCAGGACCTCCTGCAATACCCCAGATGGTTCCTTTTCTGGTTCCACCAATAGTTTGAGCATCAGAAGGGAAGGCTATGTCTGTACTATTCACCCCCCTGTGTCCCCAGGGTTGGCACAGAGTAACTGCTTTGAATATGCTGAATGTTCTTAACCTGCATTATTGTCTCCCTGGATCCAAGTAAACAATTCCTCTCCCACTCAGATGAGGAAATGAGGCCCAAAGAGGCTAGAGATTGTCTGTGCTCACACAGCTAGGAGCAAGGAATGCAGACCCTTATCTGCCTCCTAATGCCAGGTTGTTCCCCTCTACCCTCTTGTCCCTGAGAGCCCAGCAACTGATGGTCAGTGGTTGAACCTGCTGGTCCTGAAAGCAGATCCCTGGATTCAAAACTCAACTCTGCCATTTGTCAGCTGTATGATTCTTTTTTCATCTTTAAGTGGGACAATTATACCCCTAGGGTAGCTATGAGCATCAATGAGATGACTTGTGCTAAGAGCTCAGTCTAGAGACTAGCACAAAGAGCATGTCCATTGGGCAGGGTCACTCAGGCTGTAACCCAACATAATTTCAAGAAGTTCAATTCAAGAAAAATCAATGAGACACAAGGGTTAGGAGAAAAAGACTATTGTGTGGCCAAAGAATGGAGAAGAGGGAGCTTTGCTAACAAATCACCCTCTAAAGTTTAGGAGATTGTAGGATGATTATTCTATGATAGAAATGAGACAGAGAGATAGCTAAAGGAGAAAGAATCTTTGTTATCTTTCTGGGGAATAGGTGGAGATCTTCCAGAAACTAAGACATCACCTCTGATGATGGTATTAGAAATTTTAAATTTTATTTTGATTGTTCCACATTCTTTACTTGTTCTAATTAGTTACACATGACTGGTGCATTTTGACACATCATACATACATACAGAAGTGGTATAACTTCTCATTCTTCTGGTTGTATGTGATGGAGAGTTACACTGGTGGTGTAATATATATGCACATAGTTGGACTTCATTACCCTATCATTCCAACTCCCAGACCCCTCTCCCCTCCCCCTTCACTCCCTTCTGTCTGGTAATCCAAAGTACCTCTATTCTTCCCTAGCCACACCCCACCATTGTGAGTTAACATAAGGATTTCTTACATAATTATTTAATTAAACAATTTGAAACAAATTTTAACATCTCAAAAAAATGGGAGAAAGGACAAAGGAGCAGGGTAGGCGAAGCATCCCAGGGAGACAGTCTGATGTCTTCTGCAGATGGGGACAGAGAAGGGTCCTGATGTCCTGGTGGAGGCAGAAGTGCTCTCAGCTGAAACCCAGGCACAGGAACCTGAGGCAGTCGGCACATCTTGCTCCTGCAGGTCTTCAGAGTCCACATAGCCAAGGGCCACATGAGGAGTGAGGCTCCACAGGGCACAGGTCCTCGGGCTGTGCCCTCCCCTTCATTGGAGGCCCGCGGTGTATCTGGCAGGTCTCTGGACTTACATTGGAGCCACTTTATTGCTGACACGTGGAATGCAACAGCACAGTTGTAGCCCAGAGGAAGCAATCCTCCCCACCACCCGCTTCCAGAACTTTCTGCTGGCACAGCATTGCCCAGAGTCGGCCTGGGAGGCTGAATCAGATGCGGGGGTCCTTGCAGGCGGAAAGCGGAAATGGATGGCAGGCTGGCTGGCAATTCTGATGTGCCTCTGCCCTGACACTTGGGCCTCCTCCTGCAACGGAGGCTCACAGGGCAAGGGGCGAAGGGGAGGCTCACTGGGACACCTCTTGGGGAGGAGCAGGGAGCTGGAAGGATCCACGGGGCGGGGGCGAGGGCGAGGCTTCACCCTGGGGGGCGCAGCGGTCCCCTGGAACACGCCCGCCCCCTGGCTTTTCTGGTGCTCCAGGATGAGGTAGGTGGCCATGGCTGCGTTGAACTTCCTCTTGGCCAGAGACACGCAGGTCTTGTGCAGATCGTATCCCATATCGAACATGACGGTCAGTATTTCGGGGTCCGGGTGTCTGGGGAGGGCTTCCCCATAAACCCGGGGTACAGGCTGCTCCCCCTGCGCCAGCCAGGGGTGCTGAAGGATCTGCCTGGCCGTGGGCCGCTTGCGGGGGTCCCGGGTCAGGATCTGGCGGATGAGGATTTGCGCTGCCACAGAAACGCGGTGGGGGAGGCAGTAGGCGCCCCGCACCATCTGCCTCAGCATCTTCTTAGCCGTGGGCCCCGTGAAGGGGCACCGCCCTGTCAACATGAAGTACAGAATGACCCCCAGGCTCCAGACGTCCACTGGGGAGCCCTCGTACGCTTGCCTCAGGATAATCGCGGGGGCAAAGGGGGAGAGGGTGCCCCAGAACTCGTGCAGTTTCTTCCCAGGCTGGAAAGTGGTGCTGAAGCCGAAGTCGATCAGCTTGACCTGGCCTCTGGCGTCCAGCACGATGTTCTCTGGCTTCAGGTCCCGGTGCACGATGCCCCTGTCGTGGCAGTAGCCCACGGCGCTCACTGTCTGCCGGAAGAGCCTGCGCGCCTCCTTCTCCTGCAGGCCTCCCTCGGGGACGTGGTCCAGGAGCTGGCCCCCACCTCCGTGCTCCATCACCATGTAGATATTTTGGGGCGTCTCCACCACCTCAAACAACTGAATCACGTGGGGGTGCTTCAGGCTCCTCATCGTATCGGGCTCGGACAGGAACGGGAGGTTCTGCACTGTCTTGGGCAGGACCTTCACTGCCACCTCTGCTCCTGTGGGGCAATGGCGGGCTAGTTGGACCTGGCCGAACCCGCCACACCCGATGTCCCTCAGGACCTCGTACTGGTGGTCCCTCAGGACTGCCTCGTGGCAGGAGCTGGGCTTCTGCGACACTACACTAGTCTCACTACTCTGGCTATCCATCCTAAGCAGGAACACCACCAAGGATGCTAGCTTAAAAAAAAATAACAGACTAAAACAACAAATCCAAATCAAAAACACAAACAAGACAAAACAACAAAACCAAACCAAAGAACCAATATCCAAAGACCACCAACAACAACCGCCAACCACCAACCACCAACCACCAAACACACTAACTAGCTGGGAGTCCGACAGGTCACCACCAAGAGCTTCCTGTACTTGTGGACAAAAACCCAGCCGTGGCCACTCTCTTACATACCTGCCCTTTGAAACTTGTTCACAATGGCTCCTTGTGACATCAGAGCAAGTCATCACCCAGTCATGCCTGGCCATAACTCCCAGGGGTCATCTCCCTTTGGGGCCTCCAGAACTGCTTCCATTTGCAGACTGGGAACAAGGAAGGACTCCAGGCCTTTCTTGCTCTAGTGGGTTCTGGAGACTGATAGTTACTTGTTTAGCAATTAATATTTGGGTGGAACTTCAATGTAGTTTTCATTTCAGCCTACAAATCTATAACTTTTTGCTTTGAAACATTACAACACATTTACCCTGAAGGTATTCGATTCCTTTTTCTTTGAACTTGGAATAACTGGTGTGAAAAGGATGGTAGCACCTCACTCACATGGTGATACTATAACAGAGTGTTCTGTTCCCTAAGACACCTTAGAGCACAGTAGGAACACATGTGGTGCTGAGAGAGGGAGGCTTAAATGTTCATCATGATTTCTCCATACAGTCCTATACACGATGCATATGTGTTACTGCTGTAACTGAGGGGGACGCGTAGAGATATGCAAGAAGAGCATTTTCTGGTCCTGAAGCTATGGTGCTAGAGCTTCACACCAGAGTTGTCTCTCTGGCTCATGTTAAAGGCAATGCCAGGGGGAACTGCACAGAAATACCTGTAGGACACCAAAAATGACAGGGATGGAAATTAAATATTTCATGTGAGAGGTCAAATAGATATGAGAGGAGATAATAATTAATGGATACAAGGCCCTGTGAATCAAGAGCTTGCCCTGCTCTCCTTATAAGGGCACAAGGCCCACCAAATGAGCAGCCCCTCTCCTGTCCTTATAAGGGCAAAGGTGCTACTGAACCAGCAGCCGGCCCTCCTCTCCTTATAAGGTCACAAGTCCCACTGGGCCAGTAGCCCACCCTCCTCTCCTTATAAGGACGCCACTCACACTGGAACAACAGCTTGCCCTATTCCATTATGTCCCCATCTTAGATAATTACATCAAAATATTGCCATTTCTGAAAAAAGGGCTTATTCTAGGTGTGTGGCTAGAACCTATACAAATGCTCTACAAGACATAATTTAACATATAACATGCTTATTTCTATTTTTCTAAGAGTTTTTATTCATAGGTGTTGAACTTTGTCATTTGATGTTTCTCCATCAATCCATACGTTCACGCAACTTCTTGGGTTTATCAGTGAAGTGCATATTCTTAGTGGGCATGCTCTTGCAAATTCTTGATGCCAAATGGGGATCCAATAACCTTTCACTTAGTTCACCTCTTAAAGATTCTACTGGCCTGCATCACCAAACTGAGACCAAGCTGTCAATACTGAGCCATTGGGGGCAGAACAGGTACCCAACAACAGCAACACTATTTCTTTATTATGCTGTTTATGTCTTCAGGGTCTGTCATAACTAATATTCCATTTAATACTTGATATTGAAAATTAACCTATTCTTTCCTTCATCAATATTATTACTAATTTGTGAATGTTATTTATCATTTCAAGCAAGAAGCTCATTGTCTCTGTTTTCAATATAGTTAATCTCTGCTCTGATATTCATTCATTCTGTCTTCTGCTTGATTTTGGTTTATTTGCTTCTAAAACTCCAACCCTCCCAACACCCAAGACCCAGTTGGTAGAAATTATTTTTGATTTGTGCCTTTTCCTAATTTCTAATGTGTTTTTAATGCCATCAATTTCCTTAATGCTATCAATTTCCAAGTACTAATTTAGATGTATTCTACAAACTTTTTTTTTTTTGGTACTGGGGATTAAACTCAGGGGACAGGGGCACTGAACCACAGAGCCACATCCCCAGCCCTACTTTGTGTTTTATTTAGAGACAAGGTCTCACTGAGTTGCTTAGCACCTTGCTTTTGCTGAGGTTGACTTTGAACTCTCCATCCTCCTGCCTCAGCCTCTGAAGCTACTGGGATTACACGTATGTGCCACCATGCCTGGTATCTCTTCAAACTTTTAAATGTTATTTTTCACTAAGTTCAGTATCTATTTTCCTTCCCTTTAAATACTTGACCCTTAGATTATTTAGAAATGTGTTATTTTCCTAGGTTTCGGAGATTTTCTTTTATCTTTCTATTTTCTAGTTTGAGTCCTTTGTGGTATACACTGAGTTTAATTTCAATTTTTTTTTTAAATTTGGTAATTTAGCTTCATGGCATGGGATATGGTCTATATTGCCATATTTTTTTGCTTCAGGTGGTTATGAAGACTGATATTTACTTTTAAAAATGAAAATTTGTACAGTAATTCAGTAGACTTGCCATTTAAATTCTAAATTATTTTTTAATAATGTTGGGTTTTGGAAGACCTCATCATAGCTACACTCAAGCCATTCAATTCCTTTTTTTTCCAAATAATTGATGTCAAAGGATGGGAGCCCCTTTCTCACACAGTGATACTATTGTGGGAATGAGACATGTATCAGCAAATGGCACCCAAAGAGCAGCAGAACTCAAACTTTATTTTATGCTGGCATAACTGTACAGAACTTCTATGTACTTTCATTTTCAGCCTACAAATGTAATAACTCTTTGCTTTGAAAGGCAAATTGCCATCCTTGCAGACCATGAATGAAGGGCTGGGGAAGGAGCTCCCCTAAATTTTGCCATACATGGAGGCTCACTATACAAAGCAATGGATATGTGTGCTTTTCATACATAATCTCATTCCAGGCTTACAACAATCTATTTTACCTATGACAGAGCTGAGGCTGAGAGAAATTAAGGACACAATAGGTCATGTGCTTGGCCTAAAAGGGATCAGATCTAATCCCAAATTCTAACCTTTTAACAAACACACTGTGTAAATGCCTCTCTGGACATTGGGACTCCTGTGGAAGGAACTTAAGACACTAATGCATATGTAACTGCTTAGATTCTCTCTGTTTAATGTCCTGAGGAATATCTGATTTAAACACCTGGCTCTTTCCTTCCTGCCTTCTGCACTCATAATAAGCTTTCCCTTTTATTCTCTAAGTGACTGGTTTACAGATGATCCCTGTATACAGCCAGGCTGCACCATATACTGGACATTTTATACCAATCTTTCAAAGAATGACATTTTTAGAACAGATTACTTCTAAAATTACACTGAAGGGAACTGGACCTTTTTTAGTCATTCAAAAGCTCTAAATCTTATTCCTTCAATAAACTTTTACTGATCATCTGCATTAGGCACAGTGTTTGACACTGGCTTTGAAGATGAAAATGGTGACTCTTGTGGTAAAGGCAAACACACAAGCCAAGCAATCATGGCTTGCAAGATCAGTACATGTAAGACACAGTGCTCATCAAGGCCTTAGACCAAGAGCAGTGTGAGTGGCATGCTGAAGGCCAGGAATCTTGAAAGATGAGACCTACTCCAAAAGTAGGAAGGGGCATAGGCAGGGCCTATGCAGACATCTGAGTTACATGAAAAGCCCTAAGGCAATTCAGTAGAGAAGGGGTGGTCTTTTCCATGATGGTTGCTAGGTCATGGGACATCCATATGAGGGGCAGGGATTGACCCTTGATCTCTACCTCTCACCATGCACAAAAATTAATTCATTGTAGATCATAGAACGATGAAAATATAAACAACTAAGTACATGGAAAAAAAGATAAGAATCTGTCTTTGGTGACCTTGGAGTAAGCAAAGACACCTTAAATAAGACAGAAATGTTAACTTTTATAAAACAATGATAAAATTAATATTAAATACAGACAAAAACAAAAAAAATTGAGAGAGTGAGGAAGACAAGACACTGACTGGAAAAGATACATACAGCCAACAAAGGGTTTGTGTCCAGACTATAAATCAATAAGAAATAGGGAAAAGGGGGGGGCAAAAGAATTGAATAGGCACTTTGCAAAAAAGAATATCAAAATGACCAGTAAATATGGGAAAGTTACTTAACATCATTTGTCATTGTAGAAATGTAAAATAAAATCTCAGGGAAATACCACCAACACAAAGAGACACCTTCATAGTTTTAGATGCATAACATTCAAGACTGGCAACATCAAAGTGGATGATAATACAGAACAATGGGAATTTTTTGTCACTGGTGGAATTATAAATTGGAGAAAACAATTCAGAAAAATTGGGGCAATACCTACTGGATCTGAATGTTTATGTTGTGACCTAGCAGTTCTACACTGAACAGAAATGAGTGCTGTGTCCACGTAAAGATTTGTACATTAGTATTCACAGCAGCCTTATTCACAATAAACAATAACTACAAGCAACTCAAATGTCAATCAATGGAAAAACAAATAAACAAATGTGATGCAGTCACATTTGTTTGGAATACTACTCATCAGTAAAAAAGAGTAAGCTTTTAGTGCTTACATACAATGTTGAAAGAAAGAAGACACAAAAGGATACATGTTATATGGCTGCATTTATGTATAAGTCAAGTAGCAAAATTCACCTGTGGTGATAGAAATCAACAGAGTGGTTATCCTTAGGGAGTACTTCAGCAATGGAGAGTCTTCAGCAATGCTAGAACAGTGCTATATCTTGATGTAAGTACTTGTGCAAGTTATTTCTCACATTTTTTAGCACCATTTGTTGAAGAGGCTATCCTTTCTCCAATATGTTTTTGGTGACTTTGTCTAATATGAGATAACTGTATTTATGTGGGTTTGTCTCTGTGTCCTCAATTCTGTACCATTGGTCTACATGTCTATTTTGGTGCCAATACCATGCTGTTTTTATTACTATTGCTCTGTTTAAGGTCTGGTACAATG